ACTTATATATATATATATATATATATATATATATAGATATATAGATAGATATATAGATAGATAGATATATATATGGGGAATGATTTCATGTTACCATATCATTGTAATATAATGAAATCACATTTCTTGAAAACCAACATTTACATAGGGTTATGTTGGAGTATTCATATATATAAATATTTACTTAATGTACTCAACATTTTCGGACACTCAATACCCTTATTCCACCATAAAATAACCTCTTTGCCTAGGGGTATTTTAGGTAATTTAACATTGGTAAATTGAAATTTTTGAAAGCAATAAGAGAATTTTTTACCTATAATGGAGGATGATGTCACCCACATGTAGCAATGATTGCTTCTTAACCACTAATAAATGCCACTAATAGAAATATCTATCCTACCCCTCCTAATTATGAAAAGTGCCATTACTAAAAAAAAGTTTGTATTACAAAACAAGGGTATATGAGTGTATATATATATGTGCATCATCTTGGTTTTTCAATGTAGTGGTAGGTCTTGTAGTTTCTCATCATCGGATAGTCTTCAAATGTAAATTAATATATAAATGAATAAAGTTAAGAGGTTACATTGGCCCACTGTCTGTCGTTTTCTGCTTTAGGGTTGGTGCAAGTGTTTGTTAAATGGTTAAAAGGATTGTTTCCAATCACCAGGAGTCTGCCTCTTGCTGCCTGACAACTGGTTTTGACTCTACCTAGTTGTGTGCTTTTAGACATCCACAGCTTGTGCTTCATGATGCTTTACCTTAGGGATGCTGCTGGTTTCCTTATTTTTTAACTTCACATGCAATGGTTTTAGCCTGAAGAACAAACATGTCATATATAGAGCTCAGTCTGGAAAGTTCTTTCAGACTCGCCTTTGTTTATGTACAGCATATATTTTATGTGCTAAAATAAAGGAAGGGACTCCTGCCTTTTAAATCCCCCAGTTTGTATACTAGATGAGGGCCTCAAAATTTACGTGTTAAATGGACCCGAATGAAGCTTCAGCGGTGACATTATCTCTTGGCACCTTGTGGACCATGCTGATGGTTTTAAAATCTATGTTTGCATTTTTTTCTTTTTCGTTTTTTTGATAATTATGAACATGCACAATTCGGAGCCCTTCCTTATGCTTTGCTGATAATATTTTGATGACTTGATGCATCTTACACAAATCTTTCGTGTGTAGATTGTGCCAATAGCCTGTTAGTGGTAGCTACAATCCATTGAAAAAGAAAAATCGGCTAAAATCAGTTATATATGATACACATGCACTTGTACACGCACACACATGGATTCTCTACACACATACGGGCAAGCTGATGGCAATATTGCATTTTATGAGAATGTCTCTCAATAACAACATTAATAAGGAGGATTAATTGTATTACTTGAGAATTTAGTTCCAATTTTTAGTGGGTATACCGAGATAGTAGTTTCTTTATCTCGAATTAAAGAAATGTTTAGTTTTTGATAGTTTTTTGTAATCTAGTGAGGGATTGGAAGCGGTAAAGGGTGTAGTTTAGAGAGTGATATGATGGGTAGTTGGTATTCCCAAAGTGTAAAGTACATGGGAAGTAGCAGGGACTCTAGGGATCATAGGTGGTTGGAATCTCCCTTCTAAGTGAGTTTGCTAAAACATACCATGGAAGAGATATGGGGAGAAAGGGTCTCCTTGGCCCATTCTTACCCTTGAAGTATCTAAAAGGGGTGTCGTTGAGAACCACATATTGCCTAGTGGTGGCGCACGTTTTTACCCAATTTATGAATTTCTCCCTCCCTGAATCCATATCTTTGGAGTTCAATTCCCTGTTAACTCTCAAAAGTTTTGTGTAAACCAAATTTGAGGCAAATAAATGCTCTCTCTTTTGTTCGTAGCCATGTTATGGATGAGCTCATGTGCAATGAAAGCTTGCTTAAAGACACTTCTATTGTGGAGAAAAGCGTTGCTTGGGGCTAATGGTCCCATTGAGAACTGACTTAAGCCCTTCAGCGATGATTTTGCTAATTGCCTTATTGATGACATTGCAAAGATTAATAGATCTAAAATCAGCAAAGAAGGGATACTTCTTTTTTTGGGACTAAGGTCATAAAGATTGAATTGAGGGACTGCAAAATGGTTTGTCTCCTGAGTGTTTCTTTTTTGGTTTGAGAGGTTTTTAGGACTGCTAGTATGTGCCGAAATTTTTGGAAGAATTTGAGGGTTGGCTACATCCCTTTGAAGGAACATGTTTTCTTCCTTGGAGATTTTTGGAATCATAAGGGGTTTTAGATGAGGAAATAGGATGCCTACTGCCTAGGAGGTTGTTGTAGAAACTAATGGCTCCTTGGACAATATCCTTTTTGTTATTGGTGGTTGAGCCATCTTGTTTCTTAAACTTAGATATTTGTGGGAAGGCACCTTCTACTCATGGTTTTGGAGAAAAAGAATTGGTACAAGAATCCCCTTCGGTCATCCAGGTTTGCCTTATTTTTGAGGCCCAAAAAGAAGGTTCATTAATAAGAGCTTTAGATAACTCCCTTTTTGAGTATGTTTTATTTGTCCTGAAGTCAAGGTTTGTTTGTTGTTGTACTAACTTTAATTGATACTCTTGTAGCGTGAGTGTGAAATGAATAGAACCTAAGGTCTCAAAGGTCCACGTTTTTAAGGGTTCTTTTTAATATTTGTAAGTTTTCTTTGAACCCTAAGCATTGTGCATCTTTTTAATTTTTTTCCTCCCAACACTTCTTTATAATATCCTTGCAGTCTCTGTGTGTGGACCCTAAACATTTTTAAGGTTTAGGACTGCATTCTATGGGTTTTCTATTTGTAATTGTGTAGGGTTGTGGTGAGTGGTCCGAGATGGGATTTTGCTTTTAAGTCTGGTCCAGAAAGGTGGTTTAAATCTGTTTATCCCCAATTCCTGCATAGCTGAAAAGCCAACTTGCAACCGTATCATGTTGCCATATAATTTATAAGTACCCTACTATTCCTGGCCAGACATGTATTTGCAAGGTTGTTTGTGTCTGAATTTGCCTCTCTAGGTAAATGTTCGGGACCCAAAAGTGCAATCATATGATCAAAGAACCGTCTCCATTGTCTCTGTCCTGTCATTTTCTTAGAATTGGGGCAATCCTTGCTTTTTCGTCGGTCCCTGGGTCTCATTGCATATTTATATTATCTTGGAGAAAGTCATTCACACAATCATACTTAGCAGGGCTTATTTGGCTTTGAAGTCTGCAATTGTCTTCCATATCCTGAAGGTTTTTAATATCTTTATGTAGCATTGGTTATAAACTTATTATGATTTGTTTTTTGTTATGTTCTACTTATGTGAGAAAATATTCATATTGCCATCAGCTAGTTAATAACAACTTAATAACTTGTGATTTTTTGGACAATTTGCTATGATTGTGCTGTAATGTGTTGCATAGAACCTGCACCATACCATGCCAAGGTGTTTTCTGTCATTCATACAATTCTTTTATGTGTTTCTCAAGGTATACTCACCAAAATTTGGTAATTTCAATCTAGGCTGCCTTTCGAAGTGGAGATTCTGAGTTTGTGCTTGGATAGCAGCTATCTACGATAAGCAATTTAAAAATGCATAAAAATAACTTTCAATTTATGATCTGTCAAGTGAAGCAGAATTTCTGGATTCTGAAGAACATGTGTATAAACTGACATTTGCAAGCCTTGCTAATTTTATTAAGGGTTTTGTTTTGTTTGATTACAGGATGGAAATGAGGTGTTTTTTAGGATCAAGAGAAGCACACAGCTGAGGAAGCTGATGACTGCATACTGTGACCGACAGTCTGTTGATTTTAACTCCATTGCCTTCTTGTTTGATGGCCGACGCCTCCGAGGGGAACAAACCCCCGATGAAGTAAAATTTCCATTCCCGTTTAAATCTTCTTTTGCTATCACACGTGTATTATGGATTATTGGTGTGGTTGATGCTTCATGCACTTTCCCTTTCTCTCCCTCTCATGTGCATCTTCAGCCAACTTATATGAATCTCATTTGGGTGCTAGCCCATGTTAGATTGATTAATGGAAATTTGGGCTTTTGTGAAACAGCTGGAGATGGAGGATGGAGATGAAATAGACGCCATGCTGCATCAAACTGGTGGCAGCGATGGTATTTGATCTCAGGCAGTGCCCGCTTATAGTTAGTATGGCTGCTAAAATTTTATTATGTATGAGAGAATACTTATGCATGTATAGAAAAAAGGATCTCTTGTAGGATGGCTACTAAATACAGATTATTGGCAGCTTAGTTTTGGGTTTTGTGAATGGTTGTTTGGATCTTACACCATGCTTTGCATGATTTACTCATGTTGACAACTGAACGGAGAATTGTTTAATGTTCATATCGGTGGATCTTCACTTTGCATCCTAATAATCTTGAAGAGAATCCTGGGTTGTTTTTCCTTTTTTTTTGAGTATGCGGTTTTATATTAATTGCCCCTTATATGTATGGGGTATATGTGTTTGTGGTTGTTGCATCTGAGAGAGAGGGAGTTAGCATGTGATATGTCGTGAGAGTGGATTACACTTTTCATACGCTCATATGAAAACAGATGGAGAGGGGTGAGCAGATTGTGATGGTATGGGGGTATAAAGATAAACATGCTTCTTTGAAATTGTAGGAGAGAAGTGGCGGATTTGGGATTGCCAGACAGCCAAGTATTGGGAGCCCAGCGAATCCAATCCTGAGAACTCCAGAATTTCCTAGTTCACTTTGTTATTAAGGATTTTCTTTTTTTTTTTTCTGAGTACAGCTTGATCTGCCTTTGGAATCCTTACTTGGGTTTGGTGAATTAGAAAAGTCGGAGCTTGACTTTGTTTTTTGAACTTTGGAGGGTCGACGCTTAGTTCTGAGTTTTCCAGACACCGGACGAAAAGAGAGTAAAGAAAACGCCAGCAATACTTAAGGTGAATTTGTGAACTGTTGGAACTTTAAAAGGGTGGGTGAATTGAAAGAAAGTGGGATGAATTTATGTGTGGGTTGACATTGAAGGTGTGTGAATTGTATGTGTGAATGTATGTGGGTATTGGCTGATTGGTTTGGTGGTGTTAACAGTTTAGGGTGCGCGAATTTGAACAAGTCAGGTGAATTTATGTGTGGACTGACACAGAGGGCATGTGAGATCGCCTTGGTGTTGACTGGTGTTTTGAAAACCGGTGGGGTGGATTGCCCACCTATTCATCCCAATTTGGATCGATACGATTAGCGATTTGGAGTGCTTGCGTTTGTGACCAGATGAAAATAGAGATAAAGAGCAACAAATAAAGACGTACAGGATGTTGTATACCAACCATAGGAAAAAGCTTATACAAGGTAATTTATAAAAGGTTGCAATAATCTATTGTCTATTTCAAATAAATAGTACAGATTTGATACTATCTTAGAAGACATCTTTGAAATCTACTTGGTCCAATTGAAATAGACGCTTAAAAACATCACCAGGCTGCGACTTTTTATAGTTTGCACCTTAAACTATTAACATATTAAGTTATGGGATCGTTTGCAAAGAGATCATTTATCTTTTTATCACAATTATTCTTACTCATTAGATTTCAAATATAGTTTGAGGTGAATCCCAAAGTCTGAGAATATCTTTTTTGAAACTATGTCTATTCAATGATACTTTTACAACCATCAATTTTTAAATTTAAAGAATAAAAATAATTGTGACCTTTATGTACATAAGGTAAATGGTTTCTGCAGATAAATTTAGTTGGTGGGAGGTCCAAGCCCTTGTTACCTATATCTTCTTTTTTATTTCATGTGTAACGATGACAAATTTTTTTAAATAAAGAGCATTATAACCTTAACCTTGTGGATAAGGCCCACGAACTCTAGCCAACATGTACATCAGCAATTCCTAATCCTGATCGACAATTTTCCAATCACTAGCATTGACAATTGCTGCCTTGCATCCACAAGGTTTGAATTCCTCACTAACCCTACCTAAAATAATTGAAAAAAACAACTGTTGGAAAACTGGGGTGCGTTTTGCAATTGGTATATGCTATCAATCAAAGGCATAGCCATCAATCAAAAGCATTAGTTTAAGCTCACAATCACACTCCCTAACGTAGTCTATAAACCTTTGAAAATGATTTCCTAAATCAACTTTGTGGGACTAGCTTCTACACTCTCAAAGTGAATCTGGGAACCAGGTTCTTACACAATGAAATAAAGCAATTATTCGACAAAAAACCTAAAAAAACCTTGAACAGTTTCAGAGCCTCAAATGGCTTTGAGAAATCCAAGACAAGCTGGTCGTGAATGCTTCAGGTAAGCTGCTTTGAGGAATAGTGACCTTCCAGCTTGTGCAGCACGTGCTTCTAATAACACAACGGAATCACATAGATGAGAATCATAGTTTGATTGAGTACGATGTAAGAACATCCAAATTAGGGATTGCGAAAAGGGGGAAAAAAAGAAGAAGCTGAGTTCACTACACTGAAAAATAAAGGTCAACAACCCAAAACTTACAGTGTCATGAAAGATCAAGCAACGGCAACAACTCAAGGCATGATCTTACGCTGTCATGAAAGATCAAGCAACTGAAAAACACCTCGCAATAATTGTTTATGCTTTGTGTTGCCTTGTATGCAGGGTAAAGCTCCCAGCTTCAATTGAATCACAAACTTCTAAAAAAAATCTCCATCTAGGAATGGTCTCAACTCTATTTTCTTTCATTTGAATAATCAGTTTTAAACTTCTCCCCATACAAAAATATACCATGACTTTTTTCAAGTACTGAACCCTCCCTCTTACAAAAGTAAACAGAACCAACCCAACAACAAAAAAGCCCCAAAAGAGTTGCGGGTGCAATTGAAAAGAATGCCAAACACCACCAGGAAAGAGCAAACCGATGCATTGACCATATGTGGCAGCACCCCCTGGTCCTTCAGAATGTTAAAAAAGAAATAGAAGATCTTTCTTAAGCCGGTAACTGAAGTTTTACATTGTTCTTCCAGCTGCATGTGAAAATTACCAAAAATGAGAACCATCAAATAAGTCGCAAGCAAGCAAACAACTATAAAAGTGGAAGAGATATTTTGTTTATGGGCAAGGTGAATCCCTTAAAAACCTCCTTACACTGGACCAATACTCCAATTTAACATTTACATGGGACGCCTAGGGGACAGAATATACCTATGGAAGCAGTTAGCCTTTTCTAACATATATATACACACACACACACACACACACACACATATACCTCTGGAAGTAGTAGTAGAAGAAATCGGCATAGAGAGCAGTCTGCACAAGCCCGGAAATCCATGCTGTCAAAAAAGCACAGACGAAGAGTTCAGCAATAAATTAGCATAGTAGGGGTAACGAGAAAGAAGTCAGAATTTATCCAAGCTAGCTAAAGATTGAAGACATGATTGTCGTACTTATCCAATGGACATAGTGTTTCTCGGTGAAGTAGCGATAAATCCAGTTTAAAATGTACAATGCCCTGTAGCCACTGCACAGAGCCACCAAGAACAGATCAATGGGAGATGCAAATCCACATCAAGGAACACCATTTAAACCATTTCCCTTGAGTATAACACAATGGCAGAATATTATCTGACAACATATTTTCAGAAAATTTCACTAAGAAGACTCTCGCCATTAACACAAGCCCAGTGATATAACCTCATACATACTGTTAAATTCACGCACCATGCACTCTGAATGGTATGACATTTTAAGCAAAGAAAGTTGCAGATCTATCAGATTACAGGTTAGCCATGAACTTCAGTTTCTGCAAATGACAGCTACGCATCCCCATATACCAAAAAATTTGACAGTTAGTACTTTTTTTTTTTCAATCATTAACTTTAGTACTTTTTATTATCGATATATAGAGCAGATTAGATTAAATCTAGAACAAATAGCATATGCCAGCAATAATTACCAATTGCATATCACCTTTACGCAGAACTAGTTACCCCCTAGCACCAATTACAGATCACCTTTCAAGATGATCAACGAGCAATGTGATTCAAATTTTGTATTAGTAGCCAAAGAAAACTGCATATTAAGTTCCTCAAGCTTTTCTTTTTTTTTTTTGCAGAGTAAGCAATAACCTCTACAGCTACAAATATTGCAGTGATGTACTTTGGAGTTTTGAAGGCATCCCATGTATTATTATTGGTATGATCATATAAAAAATAATCATTAAAAAATGTCCACATTTTTTTTAAATAATATTTAAAACCTGGGGCCTCAGTAGGAATAGAACTCTAGACATCATGATATGGCACTGTGCCCCACCACTATGGCCACTCAGGCGGCTATTCCCAAAAAAAGGCTGTTTGGAACAATATTAAATTTTATTGTGCTATGGAAGTTCTATAGACACAATAGCCGCTGTACCCAAGACCTCATAGCAAATTGGTTCCCAAAGATATTTTCAAACAAATTCTTATATAAAATTTGGAAAGTATCTCTCCCTACCATAATCTTGGTGCTCAGCAAGAAAGAAATCAGAGGGCAAAAGAGAACTGAAACGAATCCATTCAAATAGTACGAGACATATAACATGATGATTTGAACCTCAGGATTCTTACATAACACTCCCAAAGAATGATAATGAAAACCTTATCTACAAGAGATGAGAGTTGTGCCCTCATACTGACAGCCATGACTCTGTGACTTTTGGAGTACTGTAGTGAGGATTCTTATATATAGTGAGCTCAAGAGAGAGCTCCTTACATTTCAGCCCTTCTAATATTCACTTTGTAAATATTTGACACATTTGTTCAATAGGTGGTGCATACCCCTCAAACCTCTCACTAACTTAGCAAAAAAGGAGCCACTCTTTTTTATGTAAAAAATTTATGTATTATTACATTGTCATGTATCCGTGAGTAAACAAAATTACAGTATGTGTGTGTTAGTTCGCAGAAAATTGGAACCAAAATTTACTCCTTAGGAAAAGGGGTATAGTAGTAAGATGCTTAAGTCTTGAGGTTCCTTACATGAGGAAATCCACAGATGCATTGCCATGAGTGTTTGCACAATATATGTATGGATTAACAAATGTCAAAGATTTGGTAGATTCCAATTTCAAAGGGCAGGGGGGAGATTATATAGCTAATTTATCACATTTCGGGAATCACTTTCGATCAACAAGGAGGTACCTTAACTTCTGTTGAAAACTTTAAGTCCGGCCAGCAATCCCTGGGACTCTGTAAAAGTTGCATTCACCATGCCAATTGGGCCTGAGTAAGTCATTAGGGTTTTGGTTGAATGATTTTTAAAAATGTCCCCAATGATGGCCAGTCTTGGGTTGCAGCAAGTACTACCATCAAAGTTGAGTTTGATGCTACCATGCTCAGAGTGGTATCCAGTGGGAAGACATGGAGATTGTGTGCTCGACAATAGAATATGATTCCACTGTAATCCAAGGTCCACCAAGGTGTAGGATCTAATTCATATGGTTTTGGGCCCAGAAGATGATGCTCAATTTGATTTGATCCTTGAGAGCATTGCCATGGGTTTCTATACTCTCAACAGCACATCTGTTTTGCTCTAACCAAAGGGCTCAAACAGAAGTGTCACAGCAAAAGACCTAGGCAGGGATCGGGGAGAGAAATATGAGCAGAAGTTGTTACACTGTTTCCAGCTAACCCATCCCTATGAATAGGTTAAGGATGATGGACCAAATTTGGGTGGCCAATTTGTAGTGAATGAATAGCTGATCGATGGTCTCCAGTTCTTTGCACATGGCACACCTATTGGGTAATGGGTGGCCTCTCCTCTAAGTGGGATCAAGAGTAAGGGGCCTTCTTGGAGATAATTAACCAATTAAAGGCCTGCACCTCTCGTGGTGCAAGGGTGAGCCCGCATGGCAATGTTTGGGCTCTAAGTTAAGGGAACCTTGTGGGTAGGGTGACGATCCCGCTCAGAACCTCGATCCCACGGTTCCTGCAAGGGGTCTTAAAGGGACCCCGTTTATTCGATTTTGGGATCTCGCTCCTAAAAAAGGGGACCATGTTCTATTCATCAGTGGATTCAGTTCTATTTCAAAATAGATCCTCGCTTCCATCAACCATGGTCCAAGGTTTTGGTATATTAATAACTTGGGTTCCATGTTTGTGGGTTCTACTTTCATTAATGGATGATACCAGGATAGAGATTGCCATTGTCTGAAATTCCCATTATTTAGGAATAAGAAGTTCCATGATGTCAAAATCCAGTCCCTTTTTTGGATAGCACGAAATTCCATTATTTTAGATTCTTAATTTGAACTAGGCATAGTCTAGAGTGACCACTTACCCATTGTTTTGTTAAGTGCTATTGTGTAAGCCATCCCTCTTAGTTGTGAGAATATATATTTTATTTAAAATTTTATATTTATGATGCTCTATTGTTTGAGAGTCTTGAATCTGATTACAATTGTGAGATGAGAATATATGCTTTCATTTCAAGCTTTAAAAAGCTTCTTTTACATCAGAGCGAGAAAGAGAGAGAGAGAAAGAGAGCAGCAATGAGAAAAACAAATGCAATAGCTAAATGATCATGAGCAATATCGGTCAGCCATATGCTTTGAGGATGGAATCCCCCGAGAAGGGTTAGAATGGCAATTCCCACTCCTTGGGAGGTACCGAATAAATGACCACTTGAATCGGGGTTCAAGGCCTAAAGATTCCACTGCCCTGTAACAAGTGGCCCCAAGCCTTGAGGAGATAGTAATACATCTAGGAAATCATTCCATCTGACATATTTCCCCTTGGATTGGGGAATAGCGACATGAACTAAATGTCTTGTCCAAGCCAAGGAACTTACTTCGAATAGTCCTGACCAATGGTTTAAAAAACGGATCGGTGACCCGGATCGGGCTTCCAAAAAACCGATCCGGATCGGCGATCCGGATCGGGAATCGGGTGAATCGGTCAGAATAAAACTTAAAAAAAATTCGAAAAAATTATTAAAATTCATTATAAATATTGGTTTTTAGGAATTCAATAAAAAATGAGGGTACTCCATTAAGAATTTTCATGTTTTTGAATGAATATGCG